ACCTTCTGCCACAGCATTCAAATCAAATATTCAGGGCATAATACCCTGAAATATGAAATAGATTAAAATTTAAACTATTGCAAACAGATGGGAAGATAGTTTTTAGAGTTTGAAGGCAAGAATGGAACCCTTATTTGGTCCCAGGTTGTAAAGAATCTCATACTCTTAAAGGTCATTCCATTCACATGATTTTCATGCCTGACTTCTCGCTTCCATACCGCTGAGGCCACCACTTTCGGTAGACAAAAATATACATTATCTTCCAGACTGTTTGGAAATGTCTCAGGTGGCAGGAAACTTAGTATCCCCCAACAAGTTGTTTTGGAAAATTTGGACTGTTCAAGATTTTGTCTTGTACTAGAACACTAATAATCTTTCCTCCAATTTCCACACAATGACCCTCATTTTCTTGGACCAATAAAACAAGTTAAAGCCCTTTTCAAATACCTTTTGAAAATAGTTACTGTGTTCCTGAATCATTTCCTTTCTAGGTTGAAAATCCTCCAATTTAGTGACAAGTTCATTATAATCTTTAACTGTTTACTTTCCACATCTCCCAGGAAAAGTACTGCCTTGAATACTAGTCCTGACCTTGCCATTAATTAGTTGTGTGTCACTGGGACAGACTTTCTATGTCTTAACTTCCTCATCTGTAAAATGGAGGAGTTGACTGCCTTATCTGTAAGTACATCATGTAAAATCCTATTACTCTATTTGAAAACAATGATTTCCATTTCACATATAATGGCCATTGACCTGAAACAATAACATGGAGTTATATTTGCTTTTAGTTGGGAATTGCTCTTTCCTGCTCCAGGTGATCTTACCCCTTGTTGGCAAGCATAAATAGAGAGGGTTGCTGGAAGCAATAGGCATCATGATCACTGCAATCCCAACTCCTTTACAATGTTGATAATAGGTGGGACTGGCCCCATTCATTCTAAGAACTAGTCCTTGCAGAGATACAGACAGCAAGAGATGAAGAAGATGAGAAAAGTCACCTGAAACTCATTTATTTTTACTGACCAGCTGCCATGTTAATGGGGAAATAACAGATTTGTGGACTCCAGAAATTTTCATAAATTCTCCTTCTATTAGATATTCACATAAAAATCCTAACCATTCTTGGTTGTGTTCTGTCTTTTATTCCACCAGGTTTCCAAATATTTTATCTCTTAGGGCAGCTGACCCCCATGGCTGACCCCATAGAACTGTCCTCATCATATCTGAGAGCTCTCATTTCCCTTTGTTTCCACAGGGAATTATTATATATTAAAATATTATAGCTGCGCAGTGGTGCTGGGCGCTCAGATACCAGCGTGACTCTTCAAGTTCTTTCTTTCAGTAACCCAGAGGCTAACTAACTTTCTTCACAGAGTGTACAAACCATGCTTTTGTCCAACTTTAGTAAAGAACTAGATGTTTAATTTCTATTATAGTTCATAGTTAGGCCACCTTTATTTCCCCCTTCTGTATGTGTAGTTTCTGTTCTGCTTTTGGGTCATGCTTGCCTTCCTCTCCACCCCATTAGGTTACATCCACTTGCATATGAAATTCAACTTCAAATTGAATATTCTAATATAGTTAATGTCAGTTTCACTCCTCATCATTATATTTCTCCATATTTATTTATTTTACCAAATTATTACCAAAAAAAGTTCAGAGCCATAAAAATAAGAAGTGAAGTTCCTCTTCAGGCCCTCCCCTATCTCTGAGGGTGGGATGCCCTGTAGGCACTTCGGAACAGAGCCCTCTGCATTCTTGTCAAGTTGCTTCACTGCTGCCTTTGTAACTGATGGTGCTTATGGAGTCACCAGATAGAACAGCAAGTGAAGCTGATGGCCTTCTCCCACCTGGACAGGGGACATCCCTGTCCTCATGTCCTGCTTGATTTTGAGCTCAGCTGTTTTATTGGCCCCACATACCATCCTTGATCCTGCTGCTCCAGAATGCAATTTTCCCCCTATTATTGATGGCACAACTGCCAACGCCACCACCCTCAAAGCAGACCCAGTACATGACATCGCCAACTTCCCTCCATCGCAAAAAATATGTCAGGCTTTTTCACACCTCAGAGCCCAAGCCTTCATGGCTTCTATACTCAGGGAAAGGGGGAGATCTTCCTTTCTAGATCCAGGGTCAGTTTGCATTTCCAGCCCAGTTTCTACCTCTTCCCAAGATGATGGATATTAGAAATATCTACTCCCTGTGAGTCTGTATTATAATGACTTAAAAAACTGTCTGACATTGGAATATTTCTTCAAATCTGGATTTCACTATTATCTGTGGTCACTGGGTTATACATAAGTGGTTCTGGAAATATGTGTAACATTTTTAGAATATGTGTCAAGTTAACTTCTAAATGACCCTAAGCTCAGTGCTACCCACTAACTTCTCTTTTCTGGCGTATTTTATAAAGGCAGTAATGTTAAAAGTATCCTTAGGGTTTTTTCTTACAAGCTTTAAGTGAATATGACATTAACAGGCAGAAGGGTATGGGGACTAGAGTGTGGGACTGGGAATTGGGATTCTGAGATAAACTCTCAAGTCTGAAATAAAGTGGTCCTAATAGAACTACATTAAAATCAGAAAATTTAAAGCTGAAAATACATTTTAAAATAATTCAATACAACCCTACCATTTTTTTTCTTTACAAATGTAAAAGAACAACATAAATCTGACATTCGTAAGAGTTGAGATTAACATATTATTATTTAACTATTGCTTTTAGACCTTCTGGAACATATTTCACTTTCTGTCTCTTGTCAGGCCTTTTACTCTGAGCATAGCATTAGACTGAATTCCTAGAGCCCTTTATAGAGAAGAATGGAAGGGAACATTTCTCGAGCTAGTGAAGAGGTAGAAGTCAATGTCATAAATGGCAACGTGGTGTCCCTTCTTCATTTCAGTGAACGTCCGACCACCCCATTGGTCCAACTGGAGAATATGTTATGGGCAGGATGGTGGTCATATGAGGGCAGCTTTTATTCATTCCTCTGCTCCATGTGCAGTCCTCACATCTTCAGGTGAGAAGCATTAAGAGCAAATGGGAGTTCAGCAGCCTTTATGGGACACCATCTTCAGATCCAGCTACATACGTAACCTTGGACGAGTCATGAGCCTCTCAGACTCTCAACATCTATTAAAGATAAATACCATTTCCTTGCTAACTTTTCAAGACTGCTTATGAAAGAAGGGTACCCATCAAGGGCTGTGAAGAATTATCTATTATTTCTGGTGTAAAGGTTGTGGGAGCGAGCAGCTGCTGCCTCGCCTTTGTACAACTCATTTATTTATTAGATTTTATTTGCAAAACATGCAGTTTTACATCACTATGTATTCAGAGGTACAGGATCATCCCTCTTCAGATGGATTTTTGAGGAGCAGCTTCTCAGAAGACAAAGTCAAGTTTGGTGTAAAAATAACTGACTGCTTACACAATGTAAAGCAGGGAACCTTCATGAGCTGCTGGTCACTATTGGAAGCACTCAAAGTGCATTAACTCTTAGAATTTTAGGGTTAATTTGTTGAAATCAGTGCTATTGCTATTCGAAATTTGAAGGTAAGTAAATTTAGGCCAGAGTGGTTTGGGGTAGCCAAAGGTCACAGGTCAGAAAGCAGAGTGGCCGGGGTTCTTTACAGTGATGTCCGATCCTGGAGCCATGATCTGGCCCTGGCCACACTGCCTCTCCAGAAATTCCCTTGCTTGTAGCAGAGTCTCCTGGAACTCCAACCATGTGAAAGGCAGTTTGCATGGCGTGGACATCTCAGCACTTAGCTTCCCAGTTTGCAGCTTTTGGCCTTTCCCAGTTAGCAATGGGCTGTAGGATTTTTCCTGGCACTTACTTGACAACCACATTTTCATAGGCTAAAGTGGGTATTTGGAAGAGATGTCAGCCTTAGAAATTTAATCAGCCAGGCCCAAAGCAATCAAGATGCCATCTGGACAGACTTTGACTTCCTGCCTAGAAGATAAAGACATCTGGACCTAGTAAATGCCAAGGACATGCTGACTTGGTCCCCAGGCCTGTGGGCTGATCTTCATTTCACATGAATGTATTTTCATAATTGTGCAGGATCTACAGCTCTGAGCTGCTGCTGGGGCCATTGCGTGCCTGAGCTGTGGACCACCACGGGCTTCCCTGCTCACAACCAGTGACCACCGTTAGCTGTAGTGACTTTCCAGAGCTAAGGAGATGGATTCACTGCAAAGGCCAGTGTGAATAGTCTTCTGTAATGATGGAGCAGGAGGGGGCTGCCCCAGGTCCAATTTCTCATTGTAATTAGGGCACACCATGACTGCTGATTGTTAAGTAGGCTGAGAGAAAATATTTGTACATACAAAGAAGCTAATTAAGGTGGCTTGCCAGGTTTGCATACCCAATCAATGCTTGCTGCTGCTTCCTCCCGTGAGGTGGCTCTCTCTAATCATGTAAGTTTTGAGCAGCCAGATGTGTATGGGTGCCCTGGGTGGAAGACGAAGGGATTTGGGGGAAGAGCTGAGGAGGTGAAAGTAAAAGGAGGCAGCTCTGTAGAAAAGATTTTTATTGTGGTAAAATCTGAATCCTTGCTCTTGTTTTCTAAACGTATTTCTAGAGATGATTTGACTCTCATAGACCAGCTTCTGCCCATTTTATGAGACTTATTTTTATTTATGCATCTAAGAACCGGGGTGTAGGCCAGAGGTACTGGGGGGTGAGAAGATTCACCAGAGATAAAGTGGGAAGCAGAACAGGCAGATCTACTGAAACACACTGCTGAGGGGAGCAGTGGGAAAGACAGGAGAGGTCTGCTGTGCCATGTGGGTCAATCGAACTCATGCCATAGTGGCTGGTGATAGCTTGATATCATTGAGACTTTAACACCTGCATCACCAGGGAGGCCCCAACTTCTGCCCATTTTAAAGCAGAGCTTTAAATCTTTCTCCTAAACCCCCAAATCTTCAATATGTTCCAACCTCGCAGAAGAAAAAAATATCAACTATTTGAAATAGGCTTTATTAATATCATTTATGAGAACCAGGACTTCTGCTTTGGGCAAACAAGTGCATCTCTGTGGGAAAGGGAAGTAAAGGGGGAGAAGTTTGGTTCCAGCACTGCCAAATTCAGTGACTTTATTTTTTTTTAAAGATTTATTTATTTATACAAGAACTGGGGTATAGGCCAGATGCGCAGGAGGATGAGAGGATTCACCAGAGACAGAGCGGGGAACAGAACAGGCAGACTGATGAAATACACTGCTGAGGGGAGCAGCAGGCATGACAGGAAAGGTCTGCTTCACCATGTGGGACCCTCACTGGCCGGCCGGGATCGAACCCATGCTGCAGAGGCTGCAGACAGCTCCACAGCGCTGCACTCAACCGCCTTTGCCACCAAGGAGTCCCCAGAACTTCTTTTCTGTAGAAGAGATCATCACATTTCTTAGTGTCTGGAAGGTCCAGACAACACCATTCATTTCCTCTTCTTAGAACTTTTGTTTCATAGATGCCCGTTTTTCTGAGACTCTGTGGGGTTACCAGATGACTGAGGGGTCAGCAACTGGTGGTCAGAGAGGAAAGCTGACTCTGATTTTGGGTCCAAGTTGAGCCTGGTCAGTGGGATTGCAGTGAGTAAGTCAGTGAGTGGGCACATGGGTGCTCACAGCCCTAAGGGTGACCAACAGCACAGACAGCTCACCTCCGAGATGGTATACATTTAGCTTTTGGCGTTTTCTTTTTGAAAGGAGATGCCAGTATCTGGGGCCTGTGGAGAAGAAAATAGGAAGCTATGAATTTGTGGGTCTTGGGATTTTTCAATGAGGAAGAGAAAATACATTTTGTGTTTTTTTTTTTTTAATAGAGGCATGTTTTATTTATTTATTTGTTTGTTTGTTTTTGTTTATACATGCACTGGGTACAGTCAGAAGCGCGGGAGGGTGAGAGAATTCACCAGAGCCAGAGCGGGGAGCAGAGCAGGCAGAGGGACCGAAGTACACTGCTGAGGGGAGCAGCGGGCGGCAGGAGAGGTCTGCTCGCCATGTGGGACCCTCCTCTGGTGGCCGGGGAGCAGCCGGGGATCGAACCGGCGCCGCAGAGGCTGCGGGCAGCTTCGCAACCCAGCGCTCAACCGCTGTGCCACCGGGGAGGCCCCATTTTGTGTTGTTGAATAAACAGACAGGTATCCCCTGCTTTCCAAAAGCTACTTCACTTTAAAAGAAGACTTACATTTGTATTTGTTTTCAATAAACTGAAAGAAATTTGGACAGGATTTTTGCTCTTACAACAAAAGTCAAAAAGCAAAACTGTGTTCAGTGTCTGTTTTGCAGCCACCTCAATAGAGGCCATGGAGAGTGAGTCAATGACTGGGAGAATTCAGCAAGTTCTGTACAAGACATCTTCTGTAGAAGTCTCAGATTATGACACAGAGGTGCAATCAGGGACTCAGACCTTTGAGTGTTTAGAAAACAGAAATGATTTCCTATGAATTTGGCACAGGAAAGGACGTGTTCTTACCCTGAACAGCAGGAGTGGCCCCCCAAGCCCTTCCTAGCAGCTGCTTTCTACAGGCTACATATATATGTGTATATGGATAGCACATCTCCTATCATTCCTGCTTTTATAGTATGTTAGTGTTATTTTAGATTTCATGTGTTATTTGGTAGGTTATTTTTTGGGCCTGGGAATGCTCAAAAATTTACATAAAAATTAGTGGTAATTGCTTCTTTATTTCAGGCCCTTTGTCTTAGGGAAGGTTTCGCTGGAATACCTTATTTTGTGATTAGGGGTGACTTGCAGCCAGACAAGCCATAAATAGATATAAAGGTAAGAGAAAAAAAATATTTACACAGAGAGTAAAGCAACCATAACTAAGTATGAGGAAATTGTTACAATTGTAACTTTAATTCTAGCACAGTCTTCTTCATTGGAACATAGTTTCTGTTGTAATTTATTATTAGTAAACAAACAGAAGAAAAAAAAGGAGAAGGTAAAGGAGAAGGAGAAAGAAGAAATTCCAAAACTCCCCTTTCTCTTTCTAAATACAGTTTAATTTGCTTTAAAGAAATCTGCCATTAAAATTTAAGTTTATGGGGCCTCCCCTGGTGGCGCAGCAGTTGAGTGCTGGGCTACGAGGCTGCCTGCAGCCTCTGCAGCGCTGGTTCGTTCCCCGGCCGCCAGCGAGGGTCCCACCAAAAAAAAAAAAAAGTTTATGTAATTGATATAAATATAAAAATTTATATAAATTATTTACATAATTTATTTATGTTATTCATTTATATAAATGATTTATACAACTTATTTTATGAAAGGACCCAGTTTATTTGTGACTACCCCATCATAGAATTCCTTTTATTTATTTATTTTATTTTTTCAAAAAAAAAAACCATTTATTTATTTATACTAGCACTGGTACAGTCAGAAGTGCGGGAGGGTGAGACAGAACAGGAACAGGCAGACTGACGAAATACACTGCTGAGGAGAGCAGCGGGCGTGGCAGGAGAGGTCTGTTGCGCCATGTGGGACCCTTCCTGGTGCCGGCAGGGGATTGAACTGGCGCTGCAGAGGCTGCAGGCAGCTTCACAGCCCAGTGCTCAACCACTGCGCCACCAGGGGAGGCCCTAGAATTCCTTTAAATTGTAACCAAATCAGCATTTTTTGATGACAGGATTTTTAAAAAATTTAACTATATGTATCTACTGTGTAAAGTGAAGCTGACTTACAGCTTTGAAACAAATGTTACATCAAATATCTAAGAACCAATAGAAAACCTAACAAATGACAAAAAAAAAAAGTTTGCTTTAGGTGAGTCAGTGTCAGAACCACTGTTGGGATTGACATTGAACTATCCCTGGCTGTGTCTTTTGATAAAAAAAAAAAATGTACAGCCCAAGACAAGGTAGTTCTGTGGTGTTTGGAGAAGTCAGCTGTGATTACAATATGGTGTGCTGACATGGGGAATGACTGACTGGTCACTACAGTCAAGACCCATGACAGGTTGTTCTGGTCTTATGCCCCCAGGTCTCACATTCTGTTTCCCTCCAGGGGATGGAGTAGGGAGCTGGGGACCTGGAGTATTGGATTTTCCCTGGGGTAGCATGTGGCCCACCTTCTTTCCAGAATTCTACAGGAAAATAGCCTGACCCTTGCTCATAGTTCCAAAAAATACACTCCTTTTGTGGGGTGTCTTTATATGCTTATAAAGCATATAATGTAAAATTGGGATTGGACATTCCTTTGTAATGTAAAATTGGGATTGGACACTTAAAAATATGACTTAGAATGCCAACTATTTAACATCTTCTTAAGAGGCTGGACAAAAAAGTCTTTTTTTTTCTTGAGAAAAAAACAATATCTAGCATATAGTATTTATTATTTCTCAGTATTAAGTATTTATAGACATTATTTAATCTTTATGGATAAACTCTGAGCAGTCATTTCTGGGTAAAGAAATACAAGAAAGCTAAGCAAGTTGCTTAAAGTATGTGGCTGAGATAGAGCAAGGACCTAGGGAGTCAGGCACCAGAGATAAAATAGGGAAAGGAAGGTGACAGTTCCAGCATAATTCTGGAAGCAAGAGAAAAACAAACTAAACAGCCATAGATGAGTGAGTTCACATTAAACCAAAGGAAACACTTATTTATTATTCTTCTCCTTGATGGTCACTTTGGCACAAGAATCTCTTATATCTGTCAGGAAGTCTGGAATTTTGGCACCTGGTGTCAGTTTAGTTCCTACACAGTATCCAGCTACTGGTCGTTAGTTTGCAAATGTCATCCTGCCACCTAGTGACCAATTTTTGTATGTCACATGGACACTCCATTGTTGAAATCTAGTTGCCTATTTTCCCGATAGCTCCGAGACCTCCTCCTGCTTGAAGTTTCCATGTGGCATTATGTTGCTGGTATGTTTGTTCTGTGGTAATCATGCCTGGAGAATAAGAGCTGAGTTATAATTTCCCCACAGCAAGAAGGTGCTTGGCGTCCAATATACATATCTCAAGAGCATACCATGTGCCCAGTACTGTGAAGGGAAAGATGACTTCTATCAAAGTAGTAAATCAATGTTATCGCAATTAAAAAAATAGATACATAGTCCCTTGCTCAAAAAGGACTATGCAAATTAACCCTTCAGGGAGAGTAACTGTTTCCTGCCTAGGATTTCTTTACTACCCTAGTCATTTCTACTATACCAGTCTTTCTATACTACTCAGTGACCTGTACTGTCTCAGTCCCCCTGTACAACCTCAATCCCCTGGAATGTGACAACTGATTTTAAAAATGTGGCAAATCAAAGGGGATTTGTATATCAACAATTGAAGATGAGGTAGAGTCTTCTGAGAAGTTGATATCTGAAGAATGCTTGAAAGAGCTGAGGGAATGAGTCAGGACCATATCTGGGAAAGAGCTCCCCAGTGAGGGGATCTGCATTTGAAGAGGTTCCTGTGGTAGGAGTGGGCCTGGTCAGTTCAAGGAGGATGAGAAGGCCAGTGTGGCTGGAGCCAGTGAGTGGGACTGAGAACAGTGGGAGAGGAGGGCCAAGTAACGCTGGGCCAGACTATAGGGCTTTGTAAAGCAGTAGAAAGAGCTGGCATCTCCTTTAAGTAAGATGGGAGATACCAGAATGCTTCCAGCAGAGAAGGGACACTGTCTGAATTACATTTTAAAGCACCTCTCTGACTGTCGTGTGGGCAGTAAGGGAGCAAAGGTGGAAACAAAATCCTGAGAAGTTATTTCAGTAACAGACAAAAGATATTGGTGGTTTAGACTAGGGTGGTGGCAGAAGAGTGAGAAATAGACAGACTTGTAATAGATTTTCAAAATAGCCTCGACAGGATTTCCTATTGATTGTGTGATTGTGTTTGTGTGTGGGGGGGGGGGAGGAGGAGGATGAGGAGAAGGAGGGGGGGGGGGAGAGAGAGAGAGAGAGAGAGAGAGAGAGAGAGCTATCAAGAATGATATCAAGATTTTTAGCCTGAGCAACTGGAAACTAGACTAAATTCAGAGGTTTGTCTGTAACTCTTACCCAAACATCTTAATTCCCTAAAGTCACTGGAACAATTCAACAGGCCTGAATTTTCCAGACAGCTGCACAGAGTTGTCATCCATCCTTCCCTGGAGAGTGTCTGATCCCTTCCCGAAATGCATGCCCCATCCTCTCCACATCTGCACAGGGACTTGATCAATTTGCCTTCAGCACAATGCTCAGCCCACAGCCCACCCTCCATCTGTGACACACAGAGCGTCCTTGACCTTCCTTTCCAGGTCATTCTGAGCCTTGCCACACTATTTGGGGGTGTTGTTCTGATCCTCAGCTTTGCATTCACACCTAGGACTCTAGGAGGCTGGTCTGCTTATTGTTTTGCTCACCAAGGTTTCCTGTTGTTTTAGGTTCAGAACAGTGAGGTCATTCAGTGATCCTTGGATCTCTGTTGGCCCAGGTGGCTTGGCCAAGTGCCCCTTTAGGTGAACTATGCCCTGTTCACTCACCTCTTCTTGGATTGTCTCATTGGCAGGGTCTCTGTGCTAGTCTATGTGACAGACTGGGTAAGAAGCTGCAGCTGTTAGGAGAGGCGGCTCATATGCAGTTATGTGGATGTGCATCGGCTGTTGTAGGGCTTTGGGAAATGTTTTGGAGAGTCAGTGGAAGAACAGTTGTCTATGTAGGCCCTGTTTTGACCCAGTCTCTCACCCCACATGAGCCTCTCAGTGAGTAACACGAAAGGGTCAAGGATCTCATGTTTCTGCCTCTAGGAGAATCAGGAATGCCATTGTGATAGTGTTTCTCCCAATTTTCAGTCGCTGGCTCTGTGTGTGTGTGTGTGTGTGTGTGTGTGTGTGTGTGTGTTTGCACGTGCACTCAAGTCCATGAACCCCTGTGCATTTGCAAAGAAAAATTTTCTAGGGGGAATGAATTGAAACAGACTTTCAACTATTTGTTCAGAAAAGTCAATGTTAAGTGACCCGTTTACCTCCTAAATGCAGTCACAAGCTCCCCAAATTTCATAGTTACCCAAAGAACTCAATATTCAAGGAACTCTCATCCTGTCTCCCTCCCACCCTGCCCCCAATTATTGCCCGGCCTGACAAGGTGATTCTGGGTAAGTTGGTCATAAGCAGCAAATTTAAGTCCCCCAAATGAAACGCTTATCAGGTTGTACAAACAAAACAGGTGGGCAGGGAGTTCTGCCCACCTCGCTGGTTAGGGAACTGAAAATTGTGAACAGGGCACATGTTCTTCAGAGCTTGCAGTCAGTGTTTTCTAACTGAAAACTGCTTGTGAGGAGTAGAGACCTCTCAGTCACCTCTCAAAGGCACTGGCACACAACCTTGTCCTCGCCCTGATTAACTTTTTAATTACACCTCCTGTTACTTCTCAGAGAACCCCCTCAGAGTGGCTGGGACAGGAGCCAAGGCAAGGAAGTCTCCACACTGCCTTCTAGAAACACCTGGTGACCTAGTGCAGAATGGAGCCAGCTTGGGTGAAGTTGTTTGGGGTGTTGATTCAATACTGCTTATGATATCTGGGAAACTCTATTTTTCCAACAATGTAATCAAAATTAAAATGCAATGAAGCATTTCTTTCTCAGTTTTCCAAAAATGGGCATAGTAAACCCCAATATGAAGGCTTTCCTCTTCTGTGTGTTATTTAGACTCAGAGGAGACGTGAGGGACTTCACTTAGAAGAGCGTGGACTTGGGGCACACCAGGGGGTGAGGAGACAGCCATGTCTGCAGCCAGTCTTTCTCTGGGAATGTAAGTTTGAGAAAACACCTTTAAGCTCTGGCCCCAGAGAATCATAGTGTTTTCCTGGCATCTAATTGGTAAAACTCTTCTATGCTCGTGCATTTTTCTGTGAGGGGACATTTGTTCAGCATTTACTATGAGTTAGACACTGTTATAAGGGCTTGGCATATATCAATTTAGATTTACAAGTTACTGAATATTGTTAACAAAATCCAAGGAGGATAAGAGTGTGCATTGTATTCTTTCATTTCTATAAAAAGTATTAATAACATGTATATTTGTGAGGGAAAATTTTGAGAGGGCACCCATGAAGATGGTATAGGTTGTCTTCTAGGAGACTGAGGGGTCTTTAACTGAGGGACTATGGTGTGGAAGGGAGATTTTTCATTCAATACACTTGTTCTTTTTAAATTGTTTTTGACCAAGGGAGGAGGAGAACAAAATGAGACGTTCACAGGCTGAGGCAACTTTGTGGATCACATGCTGTGTGCTGAGTCCTGGAGTGGAACAAGCCCAAGGTATCACAGGGAATAGAGAAGTGGGAGTAGGAGGAGACATCTTTGAGGGGAACTAACTCGAAACAAAGGAGCTTGCTGTCCTCTTGACTAGCAATAGTTCTCATCTCAAATTGGAAGGAGAAATAGAAATAGCAGTTAAAATTCACCTGACATGAACCAATGTCAAGTGAAAGTAAGAAAAGCAAGCACCTGTAACTCGCCCACTATGAATTTATCATTTACATTCCAAGGTTTCTGCAGCCTGAAGGACAAGCAGGCCTGCTTTCTTATAATACTGGCTTCAATCTAGCAGGTGCAACCTTCAAAAGATAAAGTAAGCGGCTGACAGTGTGGTTTCAAATTTGGTTGCAAGTTTCTTCCAGATTGTAACATTATAATTGATGGCTTTCAGGAGCTGACAGATTTGCCCAAAGAGCTGGTTTCCTATTTTGAAACACACTAACTAGACTGGAGAAGAAACAGACCTAGGGCATTGAAGACAGAGTTTTCCCACACTTTTCATAGAATTTAGAAGGGTCTATCACCTGACACAGGACAATATGCCTGCAGCAAACAAAGCTTAAGAAGGCTTTCACAGAGCACAACAAAGGTTAGTTACAAAATGCATCCTCTTATTTGGAAACTTTTACTCATCATGAGTAATGTTTTGGGGGAACAGAAGTAACTAAATTCTTCTTTTGTATTCAATTTCTAACAACGTATGGTAAATTTGGTAAAGGCAGCATTAGCAAAAAAGCTGCTGTAGCTAAATTAGCTGAAGAATTGACAACGCTCTCGAAGACTGTTGTGAATTACTAGTCGTCTCTTTTATATTTGCCTAATTTGGTAAACCTTTGATTTTGATGGAGGTAGAGATGACCGTGCTCACAACTTGCCAACTGATAGTTATATTCTAGTGTAGTGTGCAATCTGGTGTTTTATTCTCTTATTTCCAACTTTTGGTAACTTTTATCGCTGGTAACTGCATTTTCTATCAAGTCGATTCACATAGCTGTTACTATCCACAACCTGAAGACCACCACCCTACTCATCACCGTACAGACCTTTAGAGGACTAAGATTTATAAAATATGCAAATAGGGGGACTGCGTCTGTTGAAACCAAGCTGTCAAACGCTGCCAACTATTTACGACAGTTTAGGACAATACTGCCTTACGGCAGTGACTTACCTGGCGAGGCGAAAAGACTTACGGCAAAGAACTCACAGCCAGTGCACCAGACACGGCGCCGTGGGCTGAGACCCACCAGCAGAGGTATTTGTTGTTCTCCAGTATTTAACGAATCAAGTGAACTGTCAGTTAATTTTTAAATCTTAAATCTCGCGTAACGATTCCACATTCCAAGCCCCGGTAATCTGGCTTCCCAGGGCGCTGGCTTCTCTGGGACTGCCTGTCACCTGGAGTCCCGCTAGCTGGGCTGCGGGGGGTCGGGCGGGGTTGCTCCCCAAGTTTGCCACAGCTGCCCCTCGTGTCCTGCCGTTCGAGGTGTGAGTGAAAAGGAAATGGGTGTGTTAAGGTCCGGAGACGCCAACGCCGTTTTGGTGTTACACAGTGGCGAGGAGTTAAGTGGAGACCAGGAGAGGGAGAAGCCAGTGGGAAACGATTGATAAAACCAAGATCTCTTGTGGGAGCTGCGGAGCGAGCCAGTTTGGGAAGGAAAGGAACCTTCTGCTCTTGCAGTAGGGAAGCATCAGCTGAAATTGCAAGGGTGGGGGGCAATTTTGTGATGGAAAGGACAGGATATATGAGAAGAGCTGGAACTGATGTTTCGTGTGGAAATGCCAGTAAAGTGGGGCTGAGGTCAGGGTGGGGTCAATATACCTGGGGGATATTGGATTAGGGCAATAATTTGGCTTCCTTCAAGTGGATTTTCTTTTGTGATGGTAAAAGAAGTTGCCTTTCTCTTAAAAAATTTCATACCTATGCTTGTATTTAAAAATTAAGGTTTATTATACGTAACAAGTGTAGCTTATCAAGACTTAATTGAAATTGTCTTTCACCTCAGATGTTTTTGGTAGTGGAGGGTACTCCCACTTACTAAGACGAGGAAAAACTACAGGTATGGTCAATTTTTGTTCAACATGCATTTAAAGGATTTTTTTTATAACAGTGAAATATTTCCCATTTTTCCTTAGTTTCCTCTTTTAAAAAAAGTATTCTTATTTATTTATGCATACAAGAGCTGGGGTGCAGGCCAGAGGTGCGGGGGTGGGGGAAGAGGAGGCAGTGAGTAGATTCACCAGAGACAAAGTGGGGAGCAGAACAGGTGGATTGACTGAAATAAACTGCCGAGGGGAACAGTGGTGAGACAGGAGAGGACTGCTGTGCCTAATTCTTTTTAAAATTTTTTTCTGAAGCAGAAAACTTTATAGAAGTGATAGATAAGTGCTTAAAATTGAGTTAATAATACAAATTCTTTTTTACTGGTAAATAAGGCTACACCCTGTGACCTGTGGTTCTGCATTTTGTTGGCTCCCTTGCTGACCTTGGCTGTGCTGTCGGCTGATCCCAAGATCCGTGACTTATCAGTCTCTGGGCCATGGAACTCACTGAGTGAACCACTGGGAAAAGGCATTACCACACGGGATGCTTTTAAATATACATATTGGTGGAAGCCAGGAGTGGGCTTTCATCTGGCCAGTTATGGGAAGTTTCCTATGGAATGCTCTGTCCACTGGCAATAAACAATGTTGGTTTAATGCAGATTCCTCATAGATTGGTACCTGTAGTGGGTAGCAGTGTAGAAGGATGGTGCACTTCTTCATGTGGATTTGGGTAGGGCTGAGCCTACAATCTGGAATCAAATTGCTGTTGTTATAGAGGATATGAAAGATGTGTTCAAGGGAAACAAAAGGACCTCTACACCCCAAAGAGGGAACTGCAGATTTGTGCCGGACAGACAAAGGGAGAGACCAGAATGATTTTCTCAAGAGGGCAGTAAGGTGAGCATCATTGAAATGATGGATCTTGTCTCTCTTGCCAGGCAGTGGGGTCAGAATCCATTGTGGACTGATGACTTGGAGTGGGGAGAAGAAGTACAGGAAACTGTAATCAGATTTCAGACAGTTAGCCAATTTAGTGATGTATTCATTTTAGTGAGACATTTTTAAAGTGGTTTTAAAAATACAGTCCTATAAAATGTTAGTTAAAAAAGGTTTCTCTATATATGTGAATACTTGGAAGGCTGTCATTGTAACTTTCATGTAACTAAGAACACTTCTTTGTTTCTACATTGTATTTGGTCTGATATGAATATCCAAATTATAGTGCATTTGTGGCAACCTTCAAAAGAATAAATTTCTTATGTGACTAAACATGACATGGAACTTTAGTTTTTGTTTTAATTTTTCTGTCAATCATAGCTGAGTAGCACTGGTCACTCACAAGCTGAAGAGTGGTAACCTATGTGACTATAGTTAAGTACTATTAAAATTATTTGGTCAGCATTCACTGAGGTCTAAATGATAGATTCATGATCATAAATATGATCGAGGCCAACCCTCAACATCTTTGTGTCTTAGTTCCCTTATTTTAAATGGTGGTGGGGTAAGAGTTGGGATATGGTGGGCCAGATGTTTTCCTAAACACCTTTTCCTTTCAAATATTAGGAAACATGTATGTGTTCTCTAATAAATACCATACTATTATGGTATTAATCATACTAGTATGATAAAGTTTGAGAGTGCTAAAAGATAAACTGAGGCATAGTAAAATGTTTACAAATTTATTTGAACAAACGTGGATTCTAATTGGGCAGAAACAAGCCAGAGGTAGATAAGAGGTAGGGGTTATACTAGGAAGGAAAGAAATGAAATGATACAGTTGGCAGTACCTTAGTGCCTGCTTATTTGGGAAAGCAAGGTTTAGATTTCTTAACTTTGAGGTATTTACAGACAAGGTTAGATTTGCTTATATAAGCTGCTAAAGCACCTCGGTCTAATGGCCTCCCTGTTTTAATTAATTTAACAAATATGGCAAGAGTAAGAAGGAAGTAGCGCAAACTTCTCCAGTTGGAGTTTGTATTTGTTTGGTTTTATTAGGAGAGTTAGGACTATTTGTAGCATTACCTCAGAAACTCTTAAGAATTCCAAGAAGACAATTATAGCCAAATACATGTTTAAAACTCTCATAGCTAGAATATACATTTTAAAATACAATAGAGCTGTTTAGAGAGCACAGGGAAACCTTGTATAATCAGTGCAACAGTATATTTATTGATACTCTGTAGAATTTAGGACATGGTATTACTACTTGAAATGATTCTGGAGCTTAGTTTTTGCTTCTTTGTTTTGCTGTGTGTTCTGGGATGGTGCTGCTGTCCAAGATTTGGTATTTCTGGCCCATGAATGGGGTATATCCGTTCTGAAATGACCTCACCCTTCAGCTCCTGCAGGAAGTGAAACTCTTGCAGGAAAACACTTAACGAGTGCTGTGAATCCCAGTTGTGGTTTTCCTTATTTCCTTGTCTTTTTGGAGGAGTCAGTCCTTAATTCCTGTTCTTGATTTTAGTGTGAGCCATTATGGAACTCTGGGAGAAAGAAAACCTGACTAATTCCACTTGGATACCCCCTTCCACTAACCAAAACCCCACCTCCCAAACCATTATATTGATCTTTTCCAGTGAAAGGGTATCATTCCATCAGGTACTTAATGAATATCTTGATGTGATGTTTACAATTTTAGTGGGGTAGCCCAGCTTTTTTTCTGCCTGGTTCCACCTGGACAGCTATGCTTGTGCTTACTGAAGCTCATAGAGTAGCCAGTGAACTCTGGTTTCCTGATATTTAGCAATGAGTGCCCCTTTCATTCTCTGTGGACACATCATCTGAATCCAGTAGTGTAATATGTTGTCATTTAGTCGACTGCTTCATTACCATCATGGACTACTGGCTTCTGGTCTAGAATGAAGAAATCCTTCCTGCCTTCCTTCCACTTCAGGAATGAGGGCTAGAAATTGGACAGGATTCTTTCTCTAATTCTGTGGGTCTAGGCTTATATACCCTGGGTAGTTCCTGGTGCCTGATGCTTAAAAATTTTATGTTTTAAGCTACTGTGGACTCTGAGTAGCAGAAAAACAACAGGATGAGTGTGTGTGTGCATATATATGTCTGAGCAAGGGAGGGAGGTAGGGAGAATAGAGGAGAGTGAGAGGGGAGTTCTGAAATACAGTTTTATGAAAAGACTTTTTTGTAATTTTACTGAATTTCTATATTGAAGATATAGTTTAAAAACCATTGTACTCTATTTTAATATATTGCTTTATTAGTCATGTATGTGACTGGCGTGACAGTCCCACATTGTTTCTATGAGACTTCCAACCAGATCCAAGACAAAAGAATGACTTACTTCTCTGCCCAGGGTCTCTTGGACAAATACAGGGCAAGTATATGACAAACTTCAATGTCACCAGGAAAGCAGGATTATTATCCCTGTCTTTCAGTACTCACAGAATTGTTGATAATCCTGTTGTTAAATTTCTATAGCATTACTTTGAGTGATTTATTATAATAAACCTTAAGTGGTACATCTGTTTTACTTTCTGACATCATTGTGAGGGCTCTAGTCTTTCCACTAAGTTTTGACTCCTTAAGTATAATTGGCTTCTTGGAATATAGACAGGAGGCTAAGGACATGGAGGGCACATCACCATGGTGCCGGGGGAGCTGGGTTTGATTTCCTGTTTTCCTAGTCATTATATGAACGTGAATGAGCTAGTTTGCCCTCTGATTCTCAGTTATGAGTCTAACTAACTGGGAAAATGATGCCTGCCATTAAAAAAAAAAATCTCACAATAAGGGTATCTTTCCATGAAGGAAATTTTAAATTTATTTTTATTATTATCGCTATCCTCTTGCCCATTCAGGGCTTCATTTGTCACCCAATTTCAGATGTTTTCACCATTTTCAGTTAGGTTGGACTGACCAAGAAGTCAAGGCATTAGTTCTTGAATGAGGTGATTTCTAAAATTAGCCTTGTTATAAAGTACTGGCTGGAAAAAATATTGATTGGAAGTGGTACAAGGGAACATCCTTGCTGGATTTCTGATCATGGGGTGAGGGGACATGTTTAATATTTCAACATGTTAGCTATAGGTTTTCATATATATATGTATATATACATATATATTTTACAAATGAGGCATCTCCTTTCTATACCTGGTTTGTTGAGAGCTTTTATAATGACTGGATGTGGAATTTTGTCAGAGGATTGTAACATTTCAAAAGATGATTATATGAATTTTTTTTTTGGTTAATGTGGAAATCACAGTGAAT